CCCCAAAACCCCAAACCCCAAAACCCCAAAACCCCAAAACCCCGCTAAACTTGATTAAAATTGAATTTAAATTATAGAAAATGGTCCGCTTCGAAGAAGCCTTGGAACGGGAACTCAAGAATCCCAGAAGTAAAGGCTTTATTAACCAGACCAAGCTCTCTATGAATTACCAACAGATCTCCTGAATTGCTCCGTTTAAGTACCTAATCAATGCCGAAAAGGAAGGGTTTAAAAAGAGTTCAGAGTTGACACGGAGATATATTTCCCTCAGTTATTTTTCGACAGTCAGGAAATTGTTTCTCAGCCATAATAACTTAAGAAGTTTGGAAGGACTGGAGTATTTCACCAGTCTGACACATCTATCAATATCCTATAATAAGATATACGATATGGAAGAGCTCCAACATGTGCCCACTCTAGAGAGACTAGAAAGCTTGTCTATAGAAGGAAATTTCTTTGCTAAGCATCCAGGAATTATTTATTCTTTAAGTAATGACTTAAAGATTCTTGATGGAAAGCCCATTGGACAGAACAGTAAGTTATCCTCTGACTCATTATGTAGATTATTTTAAAGAGATGCTATATTTACGTAAAATTATGATCCCCTTGTGGTATAAGCTTGAGAAAGCTCAAGTTGTTGCTGAAGAAGAACTGAGGCAAATTAAGGCTTTGATCAGTGAAGGAACTATCTTAGAAAAGTAATTCTCAAGCTCATATTTAGGGACATCGGCAAAAATAGGAAAGAAATCATAGATTTGCAGCAGTTCTATCATAAAAGTAGGCTTATTTATGAGTGTAATTTAATATTTCTTTAGGTGATACCAACCTTAAGTCTCTTCTGAAGACATGCAAGGGTCTATATATCCATTACAAGCATCATAGTTTTGATGTAGACAAAAGGAGTGAATTATTCATTCTGTTCAAGGATATTTTCCAAGAAATAGTTCTTTCTTTGAACCAAATGAAGACAACAGAGATGATTCAGTACATCAATTATGCAATTCTTCGTGATAACGATGATCTCTTTGAGTATCTTAAGCAAAAAGTACTAAAGGAAGACCTTAAAGCTAAGAGAGTAACTAACGCAAATGTTGATCAAGTGGTTGATCTCTGTATCAGTCATCTTCAGAGTGACGATAATGTTAATTATTCTGTACTCGTTATAGAACAACTAAAGCAGTTCTATAACCTCCAGCCCAATCAAGTCAGTCTGTGGGATGAGAGCCTCAGATTTTATGAGGATGACGACATCTCAGAAGGTAGGATTTAGAATAATTTTTAGAAAATTCATTACTACAGTCTGAACTCCAGGAACTTGAAGAAAGATGCAAAGGATATGATAGTTTCCAGAGCGGACAATCTGAAGGCCCTTTTGTAGATTCTTGAGATAAAGAAATCATTCCTCAGCCTAGTTATAACGGAGAGTATGACAATAAAAAGAATAGACTGAAGCTGGATATCATGGATTTACAGGAGGAACCAAATGAGTCTGATTCTGAAGAAGAACAAGCAAGGCAAAATGAATTTCTAGAGAAGAAGGATGGTAAAATATTCATATTTAAGTCTAGAAATCAAAAGGAAAATGCAGAAAGATAAATTCAAACGATTTTTGGTCGACTATAGCCATAACTTTGACATGAGAGATGATTACAAACGTTTCTTTAGGAAAGATAACTTTGATTATGAATCTGACGATATTTTTAACCAGACACTGTATGAATTTCCTGTTTTTGGGTGTAATGAAGCATATTGTAGAGCTTTATCAAATATCATATCCATCAAAGTCAAGCAGATTTATAATCTTAAAAAGAAGGGTATTGATATACTAGACAGAACTATTGGAGAACAAAACCATCCAAGACCAATCTGCAATGATTTGATGCAGAGGGATGACTTAGAAGAATTTCAGACGATTGGGACTCTTGAAAGAGAAATTCCCATCAAGCCAAAGCCCAATAAAGGGCTAACTTATCGCCAAAGAGCTCAAGTAGAGGAAGAAGTAAAGAAATTGAAAAGACCTGAATACAAAACAAATCTGAAGAAGTTTGAGGAAGTATATCTGATTCCACAATCTAACAATAAACAAGTTAATGTATCAGACACTAGTTATTATGAAAGTAAGAGAAATGCGAAGAAAGTGCTAAACAAGATGTGTAAAACGTTTACTAAATACAATAATAGATTATCAAAATGAAAGTCTTTCCTTGCTCTTAAGCTCAACGCTGCTAAGCCTAAAGCTGCCAGTATGCTGCATGACTCACTAAGCAGAATTTTCCAATATGGATACTGAACTACAATCCACAAAGAGAGTTTTATTGATTCTTTGAAAGAGATTTGCCAACAAAGAGTCGAAGATGAGCATGAATACCTCAATGAGGCAAAATCTCTTAAAGAGCAGAGGCTTAAACAAAGAAGTTTTGGAGCTCTCAGAACTTTCTCAGAAGTAATGCAACAGCAAGTTGAGAAATACCACCAATTCTACTGAGAAAATTTAAAAATCAAGTCTTTCTTCACTCTTCTCAGATATGCAAGGAAAAAGAAGAAAATGAGAGAAGAGTATCTTAGAGAAGTTGAACAGTCCAATAGTTTCATTTTAGAGAGATTCTTTAAACTTTGGAGGAAAGCTTATAAACATAGAATGAATCAGCTTGAAAATAAGAGATGATTCAAAGTCAAATTCAGTGATTACTGAAAGTGAAAAGATTGCATGATAGAGCAAAGAGCTTGTGATATCAAGCCTGAGTTTGATAAATTCACAAGTAATCCCTACCCCAAAGTTAGCACTTTGTTAAATACTTCAAAAGAGCAAGAAGAAGAGTCTGAGTTTTTGAATATATCTAAATCGAGTCATCCCTTTGCTAAATATGCAAATCCCTCTTCGAGAGCAGATATCAAGCCAGTTTTTGATGATTCCAGAGAGGTAGTGAAGACTGATTGAACTATCCGAACACTCAATGAAAATGAGAATGTCTATAATCCTTTTAACAAATTCAGTGTTAAAGACACTCTTAGTACCGACAGCCCAAAGACCATAAGGCAGACTAATAATGACGGGAATAAGAGTATGAACACAGACACCATGAATATTGTGACTAACCCTTATTACTTGAACAATTCAAACAAAGTTGATAGTATAAAGGACTCCCAGAAATATCATAGATTTTTAGAAGTTGATAGTTCAAGCCAAAAGATGCATCCTCATAGCTCTACTAATAGATATGAATCAGGGCTTATTTCAAAATTAAATAAGATAGAGGAGGATCCTAAGAAGAAGACTCAGAGGTTCCATCGACCAAACATCCCTAAAGGAGGATCGTCAAAGACTTCGACAGTAAGGTTTTGCTCAAGCAAAAAGAAGAAATCTAAACAAAAGAGATTTTCAAAGGCTAAATCTCAGGTTGAGAAAGGGACTAATTTTACTAACAAACTTATTAAATCTATTGAGTCTATCGAGATGAGCTCGAAGATGCTGAATGATACTTCTCCGTACAGAGAAATTGACAGATTTGTGCTAGCTCAAAGAACTCAGAACTTGTTAGGCAAATATGAGAAGGAAAATGACAATAAAAGAATACTTAGCCCTGAGGAGAAGGCTCTTCTCAAACAAAGAGCTCTCTCTAGTGGTGATGGTCAAGTTAATTTCTTAAGGGATAATGGGATAGGGTCTTTGACTCCAAGTTCATTGATAGATTCTTCAACAATTTGTAAGCCTCTGATGCCCGTCTTTAAGGGTATGTCTAATCAGAAGAATGACAGCTCAGTTCTTGATTATGAAGACCAGAGTGCGACAGAAAAAGGAGGCGGTGCTATCATCGTTGAGCAGCCTCCCCCAAAGGTGACTGTTAGAGATTCCTCAAGAAAATCGAGTAAATCAAAAAGCCGCAAAAGCACTAAAAGTCCTAATTCAAAGACAAAGACTAGATCAAGGCAGAAAAAGAACAGTAATTAGATATATTACCCTCATAGAATCCGTTTGGAATAACTCAATCACAGATCCAGAAGTGAGGAAGCCATCATTTAGAAGAAAGACAGTGAGTTTTACTGCTAAAACCATAAAATAATTCAAATTTAATTTTTGACGTGGGGTTTTGGGGTTTTGGGGTTTTGGGGTTTTGGG